GGGAGCCCTTACAGCCAACCCCCTGCGTAAACTGAACACGCCGGGTTACGACTCTGGCTCCCAAGTTTCAGAGGAAAGTGTTTCCAACTCTTTCTGCGACTCAGACGGTCACAGGGGCCTCCGGCCTCAGAAAAACCACACGTGATTCTAGCTGTGCTTCAGGAGAATGTCTGGGTTGTCAGCTGGTGTTGGTGGCCCCTCGGAAGTGAGCGAATCGATCCTGACCACCGAGATGGAGAGATTAACCCTCCCCAGAACCGCTGCCCCAAAGTCAGGCCTCATGTGAAGGAACAAGCCAGCGGCAGGCCTCCTCGAGGTGAATCTGGAATGGCCGAGTCCTTCCACATCTGTGCCCGCTGCCCTTGCCTCCCTGGGTCCGCGGGGCAGGTGTGACGTTCCGTAATGCACCTCTGGGGCTCCAGCCTCAGTCAGTGGGGACCACCTGGGATGGACTTCTCCGTTCTAGAGGCTCTGGGGGCTCGAATTGACTGCTAAGTGGGGATCAGAAGCTGAGAGTAAACAATACACATTTTTACTCTGATACCTGTTAGCTGCTGCGATCCTTAAGTCAATCCCAGTATCCTCAAAGGAGTTTACACAAGTGAGACCACTGCTAGAAATACCAAGCGCTGTGTAAACGGAAGAAGCAGCTGTTAATGTGATTTCTCTCCTGAGATCCTAAGACCCACCGAGGAGGATCTCAAAGAGCCGATGTGCTCAAGATGACTGTGTGCACGTGCACGTGTGTCCATGGGCGTGCGTGTGCGTGCATGTGTGTGTGTGTGTGTGCATCCGTGGGCATGTCTGACACATGCTGGAGGCGGGAGGGTGAGACAGGAAAGGGAGATGAGTGCTCACCGGGCTGGGGGTTTGCAGTCTGAGGTCTGGGTTCAAATCCCAGCTCCAGAACTTCCTAACTGCAGGAGCCTGTGTATCGTTACATGTGGCCGGGCAAGCTTCACTTGGGGTGCAGGAAGGGAGGTGGGTTCACCCCCTGCGGGTGTGTCATAGCAGCTGAAATGGAAGGCAGCATGCACACCACAGGGCACCCCTGCCGAGCATGGGGTTCCTGCCCCTCGGGGTTCCTGCCTCATTGGGACTTGCCTCATGGGAGACCTACCCTCTGGGGTACCTGCCTCGCGATCACCTGCCCCATGGGGTTGCCTCCTTACTGATTGTCCTAGGCCACAGCCAGGGTGTCGGTGGGGGCTGCATCCCAGTCTGTCCCACCCTGACCTCCTCAGGAAGCGTGTGGCGCGCCCCAGGGCTGGGCCTCCAGCCACCGGTCAGTGTTGAGGGAACTGAAGGTGCGTGGCCGGCCCTGGTGCCACATTCCCGCCAGCGCCCACCAGGTGCTCGGGGCAGGGGCTGCGGAAGCAGGAGGTCAAGCCCGCGAGTACGGGGAGGAGCCAGCGCCGAGTCCTGAGGGCTGCCTCGGGGCCCGTGGTTCTCAGCCCCGAGTTACACCCTGGGGACCCTGCCCCCGCCAGCTGCAATCTGAACAAAGCCCGCAAACCCAGGCCCACCCTCAGGGAGCCCTGTTCACAGGTGGTCACCCCGCGTTCACCGAAAAACGTCCTGGTCCCTTCTTCATCAAACCCGCTCATCCAGGCCGTGTTGCTTTCCAGGCTGGTGGAGCCTGGGCCTCTGCCCAGATGGCTGAAGGGAAAGTCCCCGAGCCACTTCTAGAGAAGCTGTGATTGCCCAGAGTCTGAGGTGCAGGGTTTAGGGGTCCCGGCACCTGGTGGCCACATGACAGGGCCGGACCTCCGCGCTTTCTCGGCAAAGGTTAAATCCAAGCACCCTTCATCAACATTCCTCTTGATTGCGGGAGAGACGCCAGCCAAATTCATAACGATCCCCGAGTTCGGGTTCGCGGTCTGGCCAGCTCCGTCACCAGTGTGTCGAGTCCCCGTCAGGGGAGGGAGCCTGAGAGTTGGGAGCGGCACCGGCCCCAGCCCCGGTCCGGACGAGGCTGCAATGTGCGGAGCCCCACCCGCACGGAGCCCGACTGACCGAGCTTCTAGCTCCGAGACACCCTGTCTCTTCTCGTTTCTTCTCCGGGGCCCGGCAGCGGGTGGCAGGACTGATGCCGTCATCTCAACGGGAGAAGAACTTGAGCGGGCTCCTCGTGGCATTGCGGTGCCCTAGTTTCGCTGAATTATTCCCGTGGGCAGTGGGTGGAGAAGCAGCTGGAGAGCCACGCGCCCGGCGTGCCACCCCGGCAGGAAGCTCAGCCCATCTGGCGGGCCCGAGGCCACGCCGGCTCGGCCACGGACACAGGTGGGCTCGGCCCGGTGTCTGTGTGTGTGTCCTCGCCTGTCTGTGGCTAACGCCCCTGGTCCCTGAATGCGTACGACGTCTTGGCACTTGTTCCCACTCCGGCACCTGGATGTATCTCGTTCTTTCTGCTCTGTTACCAGACTGCGTATGAGCAAGGGGCTCCTTTCTAGGCAGCGTGGGAGGAGTCGCCCCCGCAGGTGTGAGGAGACGAGGCTGAGCCCTCTGTCGCGGTCACACGTGCAGGCGCTCCAGATGGGAACACCCAGGCAGTGCTGAGGCGCAGATCCGTGGGGGACCAGGGACATCCCCGTCCCCTTTAACTCCTTGTATTTAAAGCCTGTTCGATTTGCCTGTTGTTTTCCGGTTGAGGAAAAAGGTCGCCGCCCGCGCTCCCTGCTGTCTCTTGGAATGAGACAGGCAGAGGCCCCGTGTCCCGTGCCCAGGCTCGTGGGCCACCTCGCGTCTCCCTCCTGCAGCCTGCGAGAGGCAGCACGGTGAGCCCATCTGCGGATGACACAAGGAGGGGCCAGCAGTCCGTGACATGCCCAGGGGCACGCAGCCGGGAGGCCGCACCAGGGTCCCAGCTCCGCCTCAGACCCTCTGCCCTCTCTGCTCACCTCCCCCAAGAGAAGCCAGCTGCTAGCGTGACCTCATTTAGGGAGGGTCCCCCACACTCCTGGAGGAGCAGTCGGTCTGCAGCTGGGTTGGTTTTCATGGGAGATTTGACAAGACAGCTGGGCAAGTCCGAACTACCTTAAATTTGGCGACACGTTAAACTGTCTTCAAACCGCTCACAAGTTTATGATATCCTCCCCCCACCACCACCGACGACTGCCTGTGATGTGGGGGGCCCAGGTCTTGTAACCAGGGAAACCGAGGCTGTGGAGGGTCCCAAGGGCCTGAGTCAGGGGTGGGCGTGTGCGGCTCCATCCTGGGTAGAGAAACTGAGGTTACAGCATCCCCTGAAGCTGGAAGTGGGGTAACCCAGAGAAGCAGGGGGGTCCCTGGGGAAAGAGGCCAGTGTTCGCTGTCTGCATCTCTTGAATTTCTCTGACTTCCTGCCCCCTGGACGGGTGTCACGCCCTGGGCTGGTCCCAGGACCAGGGTGCTAGCATGGAGATCTCATCAGGGGAGTGGAACTCAACCCCAGGAGGGTCAGGGCCCGGCTGTGGCTGGGCCACCCTCCCCGCCACTTCCAGTTCCACCCTCTGGTCAGCACAGTGGTGAGTGCCCACACTTATAGACCAACTGGGGAAATTTCAGATGTTTACAGTATCAACTTTAAAAATTCACTGGCGTGGTGTCTCTCTCCACGTGGGGGAATTCTTGCGTTTCTCCTAACGTTTTATGCTTTGCTCTGTAGACTCTCTAACAACTTTTGATAGATTTATTGGTAGCTGCTTGACATTTTAAATTCACTTCCTCTGTCTACAGTCTACAGAAATATGGCTGATTTCTGTGTATTGATTCTGTATTTAGCAAATTGTAGACCTTGGGCTCTTCTGAATGTCAGCCCTTTATCGGTTGTAAGTTACATGGTAAATATCGTCTCTCCACTCGATATGAATTATAGCCCTAAATGTAGAACTATAAAACTTTTAGAAGGAAACATGAAGAACATCTCTGTAACATCTGTTAAGCAAGATTTCTCTGCTAAGACACCGAAAACGTGATCCACTAAAAAAAAAAGTGATAAACGGGGACCTCATCAAAATGAAAAACTTTAGCTCTGGGAAGGACGCTGTCAGAAGGTGTCCCCTGTAAATGGGGGGTGCGGGGTCTCTGTGGTGGGAGCCTGTTCTGGAGCCGACTGCCCAGGGGCGGGGTGGGGGAGTAATCCGGCCCCTCCACTGCCCAGCAGGTCCCGTGTGCTCGCCCATAAACTGGGAATTGTGACCCCAGAAGAAGGAAGGTACCTGCCCCACAGAGCTGAGGGGGGCCAGGGACATGATGCCTGAGGACCACCCAGCCTGCTGCGGCTCCCCAGATGGCCCGTGCAGGACAGACGGGCACCCCAGTCCTCAGCAGGGCACTGCCACCCCCACCACTCTCTCAGCCCGCTCATGGGAGCCCTGGGATGTGCCCCCCTGGCAGGCACCTTGGTGGGCCCATGACGGGTCCCGGGCAGACCGCGCAGCTGTGGCACCAGGCCTGGCCATGGTCTGTGCTCTCGGGGTGTCTGGACCTCGCCCTCCTCAGTGGTCCTGGCGGGGTGGGGGGGTCCCACGGAGGCTGGGGCTCAGCACAGGAACCGACACCCACAGTGGAGCCCCCCACTCCTAACTGCAGAGGGGCGGGTCCCAGGGCTCAGCCCAATACACGGGACTGACTTCTGCCCGCTGCCCCGAGAGGGGGGGAGTAACGGTGCACAGAATTGCTAACATGACTCTGGAAACAGAGGAAATTCTGACGGGGACGCCCGCGGCCCCACCACAGGCCTGACCAACCTCACTTCCCGGAAACAAGCCGTGTCGGTTCCATCTTCTCTCTGGGTGGCCCGCCTGGTCCCCAGCATGGTCACCAGCACGGCCTGTCCCTGTCCCGGCGCCCTGGCTGAGCCCTGGGGTACGGTGTGGGGGAGGGGGCAGTTGGCCCTTTCCCCGGGGCAGGCCCTCAGCAAGCCCGGCTGCGTCCCCCTGAGCCTCATAGGCGCCGGCTGGGGCGGGGCCGGGGAGCTGGCGCTGGCCGCTGAGAACTCACATGCACTTGGTTTGCAGGAACCTGGGCAAGTCGGGCCTGCGGGTCTCCTGCTTGGGGCTCGGTGAGTGTGGGGCCCCGGTCCTGGGGAAGCAGGGGCTATGGGACGCTGAAGGGGCCACCCCCGGGGAGTGGGGAGGGAGCTGCACCCAGAGCAGGGATGGGTGTGTGTCTGTTACCATGGTAACAAGGAGGGGGTGCCTAGGAGAGGAAGGGGGTGGAGATACAGCCTTTTCCTCTTTCCTGAAATAGGGGCTTTGTTCCTGGGTCACGCTGTCCCTCCACCTCCACGGTGCACACACTGTGTGCCCCCAACATACACACACACACACAGTCCAGCAAGCATGAGGGCCTGCTCAGTTTCGGGGAGATGCCCCTTGCCCACTCCCTGCAGCCTGTCCCTGGGACAGGAGCCATTTCAGCTTGAGCCCCAGGGACTGTTTCAGAGCCCTACAGCTGGCTGGCTGCTCTGGGCACTTCCTGTCCCCTCAGTTTGGTGGCCCTAAGAGATGGAGAGTTGCCCTGAAGGCCAGGTGTCCACACATGCCAAGGACACGCCCACCACAGGGCAGAGTGGCCTCGTGGCCTGTGGCCATCCCCCTGGACCCTCCAGTCTGCGGTCCCAGCACCCCGGGGAGGGGAGAACTGGGCTCCCTGGGGAGTTCTCTGACTTAACCCCGTGTGTCTCCTTCCAGGAACATGGGTGACCTTTGGAGGCCAGATCACCGACGAGGTAAGACGGGGCTCCCTCATTCCACCAGGCCCCAGCCCCCTCTGGACACGTGGTAAAGTCTGTTAAATGCCCAGGGAGCCCGAGCTCCCAGCAGCCTCCTCAGCTTCCCCGTGTTCCTCCGGGGTGCCCTGGCCCTGGGCCGCAGCGGGGCACCACACACAGCAGCCCGGTGCCTTGGGGCTTCAGCACATCCCCTGGAGGCCCGGAAACTCAGGTTCCTCCTCTGCAGGGTGCCAGGAAATTCAGGGGTGCAGGTTTCCAACCGAGAACGCCTCTGCGATTCCACGCTGCTCCTGCAGTGTGTGCCCGCGTGAACTTGACACTCAGTGCGTGTCCGCCGAGGTCCCCGAGATGCGGGTTCCGCCAATTCTGCTGCCAGAGGACGACAGAGCAGATTTCCCTTCCACCGGGCTGCAACTCCGGGTCCCATCGCTGTCGCCCGTCGTGTGCCCTGCATGCAGAGGGACTTGCTGGGACAGATGCTGCGTCGGCGGGTCCATCCTGGAGGGGGCGGGGCGCTCCCAGGCTGCCGAGCGCTTCGGGGCAGCGAGTGGATGCTGGGAAATGAGCACAGTGGCCGTGGCTCCGAGCTCTGGCCAGCTGCACGGGAGCCGTCTCCCCAGTGCCCTGCTTACTGTTGAAAAGGTTGCTTGTGAAAATTAACACGTGTTCTGGCCGGTTTTGCTCAGCGGTTAGAGCGTCGCCCTGCAGACCGGAGGGTCACAGGTTCGAGTTCCGGTCAAGGGCACGTACCTGGGTTGCAGGTTTGATCCCCGCCCTGGTCCGGGTCATGCGGGAGGCAACCAATCCATGTGTGTCTCTCACGTCAATGTTTCTCTCTCCCTCCCTCCTTCCCACTCTATCTGAAAAATCAATGGAAAAATATCCTCAGGTGAGGATTTTTAAAAAATTAGTACGTGGCTCCATTTGAGACCTTGTTGGCTGTGGTCGCTGGCTTAGTTTTCACAGGCAAAGCTTTGCCTCCGTCAAAATCCAGGCGCATCTAATTTGTGTTTTTGTTCCTTTTTCTTGTTATGACAGCAGCGGTCCGAGAACTCCTTGCCCTTTGCCTTGAGGGTCTGGGGCTGGGCGATCTCAGGGGAAGGCGGGAGATTTAAGACACTGTGAACTGTTTTCTCCGGCCACCTAACTGGTTCTGAGCCTTGACTGAAGCTGGGGCCCGGAGCCCCCGTGTTCGCAGGGATCAGCCGTGTCTGCCCCGCCAGTTTCTCTCCCGGCGTGGTTACTAACTTCGCCGGTGGAAGGGTTTGGGAGCGTGTGACTTCATGCCCACTCCCATGAGCTGCACTGCCTGTGACGTCCTTGTGGGAGAGAGACAGCCGTGGCGGGTGGTGACCATCCAACAAAGTGGCTTTTTTGTTTTTTAATCCTCACCCGAGGATATTTTTCCATTGAATTTTTAGGTAGAGTGGAAGGGAGGGAGGGAGGCGGGGGAGAGAGAGAAACATGGATGTGAGAGAGACACATCAATCCGTTGCCTCCCACACGGCCCCAACCCCCAACCAGGGCTGAGGATCAGACCTGCAACCCAGGTACATGCCCTTGACCAGGAATCAATCCCATGACCCTTCGGTCCACCGGCTGATGCTCTAACCACTGAGAAAACCAGCCAGGGCAACTCGGTGGCTTTTTTACCAACACGTCACGGCACCCAGAGCACTGATTAATGATCCGACAGCAGCCCCAGCTGCCCCCGCCGTGTCTCCATCAGGGACCTAGAGACACGTATGAAGATACTGGGAGTCGTTTCAGAGAGCTGGGAGGACAGCGGATACAATAGATGACAGATTTGGGACACCAGAGGTCCTGGCAGGCGACAACGATCGAGCACAGGCGCGAGCAGCATTTTCGTGTTAAATCTTACAGTGTGTGTCCAAAAAAAATCAATACGTCAAGCGCGAGGGGCCCACCTCGCCGCGTTCGGATGAAGAATGCCCGGGTTTTATCTTCAGCCGGCTGCCTGCTGGGCCTGAGCCAGCCGGGTGGGGGCCACAGGGACACGTGCTGACCAGACCCAGGGAGGCCGCAGCCCACCGGCCGCTCCTGATGGGGGCCCCGACTGGAACCCCGTGCTCCTTGCTGAGCCCGTGTCCCAAGGATGGCACACGCCCAGGAGTCAAGAAGCAGAGTCCTGTTGTTAGGGTCACCCGGTGCGGGGCCGGGCCGCGGGGCACTGCCCTCGGGCTGGCAGGACGGGGCTGCCTGCCAGCAGCCCTGGTTTCTCGTTTCAGATGGCAGAGCAGCTAATGACTTTGGCCTACGACAACGGCATCAACCTCTTCGACACCGCAGAGGTCTACGCAGCGGGCAAGTAGGTGTCCTTGCTCGTGGGGAAATGGTGCAGCCACCGCTCCCGGGGAGGGTCCCCTCTGCCCAGCTTTCCAAACTCCAACCGGCTCCAGGACATGTTTGCACGGGGCGGGAATCACAGAACTTGGACACCGGTCACGTAAACTCCCTACGGTCCACACACCGAGGTGACCCCAGTCCCCCGGGTGCCAACGATGCCGTGCTGGGTGAGGACCGAGATGAAGCTGCCCCACACACCTGGCATTTTCCCGTCTTGCTGGGGCAGCGAGGGCCGCAGGGAATCGGGCCCTGGGCCGAGCAGCAGGCTGTGGCCGGCGCTGCAGGAAGCACTTCCGCCTTGGCAGGCGCTGTCCTGCGCAATTATGCGAAAGCCCTCCTCGCCTGGGCTGCTGGCTTCAGGCTCACAGCCGGGCTGTAATCAAATTATCCGCTTCCCTGCATCAGCTTTCCAAAGTCAGCTTTGCCTGTGAAGTCATTTGCTGGCTCTCTCTCCCCTTCCCTGCGGCCCTGCTGCCCGGCTGGCTGCACCGTGGCCTCCGGGCCAGCACCTGCCCCCGGGCTCCGTAATCGCCTGCAGCCTGCAGCCTGCAGTGGGGTCCGGAGCAGCCTCTACTCAAGTCCTGACCCAGGGTCTGAGGATCTGACAGCCCTGGGCACCCCTACTTTGAACCCCAAGTCTCCCCCAAACCCTGTTGGCGGTTCACTGCCCCTGCTGACCCCACAGCCCCTCCCAACCCCTCCAAGCCAGCAGCCGCTTCCCATCAAAGTGAAATGCTCTCCAGACAGAGGGGCTGCACCGAAGGGTCAGAGGTGGGGACGTCCAGTGCAGAAGCCATGCCCACAGCGCCCTAGCCTGGTCCCGGCCCTGCACCTGTGGTTCTGTGCCCACGAGGGTGTGGGGGGCAGCTCTGTGCACACGTTTCACAGAGCCATCTGTGGCACTTTCTCCACTTCCCCAGTTAAGGGACACCCAGGGTGGGCATGCACACCGGGTCCTGGGCAGCCACCAGGCCTCCTGGAAGCCCCTTGACAGAAGCCGAGGACTCGGGGAGCAGCTTCCCGTGGGTCGTTGTTGCCTCTGGAGCCCACCGCCCTCACCCTGCCCTCCGCTTGCCCGGCTCTGAACCTGCCTACTCACCCCATCTGTGCCTCGGTGCCAGCAGACACCCCACGTGGGAAGCCGGGCACTGTGCCAAGGGACAGGCAGGGGGAAGCGGCAAGGGGCTGGCAGGCAGCTCCAGCAGGTGCTGGGCCAGGCACTGTCCCCCTCGCTAACCAGAGTGCCAGTCACAGAGCTTGCCGAGTCCCCTGCTTCTCACGCTGACTCTCCTTTGGGCGCTTCCCAGAGAGCTGCAGGACTTCTGTGCCCTGCTGGACGGTGCCAGCCGTGCCCAACCCACGGCCACGAGCAACAGGCTTCTGTCAGCTCCGGCTGCAGCTCCTGTAACCCCGGGACTGCGGCTGGCTCTGCTCTCCCCCCTCTCCTGACCCTTTGTCCCGCAAATGAGGAACCAAGGACTAAAGGGAGAGGCCCGGAGCTGAGTGGCTCCCTCTGCGTCCTGACCACAAACAAAGAGCTTTCGGAAAGTCTGCCAAGCAGCTTGCAAATGGGAGCCCATTATTTCTGAGCGGGTGACTCAGCTTCTGGTCGGAGGCAGCGCTGGGTCTGGATCAATAGACCAGCCGCCCTCGCTTGTTTTTACTCGGAAACATTTTGCTACAAGCAAAAAGTTCTTCAGAGTTAAAAATTAAAAAGTCACAAACACAGCACTGCAGGGCCAGGAGGCGCCGGCCCGAGCTTGGTGCAGGGCCCGAGTGACGCCAAGCAGAGCAGGCAGCGGTCAGCAGGGCATCTGTGTCTCCTGTTCGGAGGCGAGAAACCAGAGGAACACACACGCCCACACATGCACACACACCTGTACACGCATGCCCACACGTGCACAAACACACACCTACCCACACATGCACACACACCCGCACACGAACCCCCACGCCCACAAGCGCTCTGCTGGGGAAACCCAGCCCTGGCCCTGAGTACATGTCGGTCGTCTCTGAAAACAGTTGAATAATTGACCTTTTAAAAACATACTTGACTGGCCCTGGCCAGTTTGGCTCAGCGGTTAGAGCGTCGGCCCGTGGACCGGAGAGTCCCGGGTTCGGTTCCCGCTAAGGGCACGTACCTCAGTTGCAGTTTGTCCCCGGCCCCGGTTGGGGTCGTGTGGGTGGCAGCCACTTGATGTGTCTCTCTCACATCGACATTTCTCTCTCTCTCTCTCTCTTCCTCCCTCTTTCCCTCAAGATAAATGCAATAAAAAGAAAATGTCCTCGGGTGAGGATGGAAAAAGAAAACATACTTGACTGGCCCGGGCCAGTTGCTAAGTGGTTAGAGCAGCAGCCTGCAGACCGAAGGGTCTGGTTCGATTATGGTCACAGGCAGGAACCTGGGTTGCAGGTTCGGTCCCCAGCCCTGGTCGGGGTGGTGTAGGAGGCAACCAAACGATGTGTCTCCCTCACATCGAAGTTTCTCTCTCTCCCTCCCTCCCAACTCTATCTAGAAATCAATAGGGAAATATCCTCTGGTGAGGATAAATTAATTACATAAATTAAATAAAAACATACTTGTCTGGAAACTTGGCCCAGGCCCGCTGCCAAGCATCTCCCAGGTGCATCTCCCAGGTGCATCCCCCGTGGGCTAGGAGAACCGGGAGCTGCTGGCCTTGCCTGTCGGGACTTTGGCTCCGTCCATCCCTGGGAGAGCCAGAGCCCCGCTGCTCGGACGAGACCTGCAGGGACACGTGCCAGGGCCACCTCTGCGGGGGGACAGCGGCCGCTCCTCTCCCTGCGTGAGCTGCCCAAGCCACGGTGGGCCTGGCTCTCTGGCCCGGTGACATGTCCCCCGAGGGGGCCAAGTAGCCGACTGTCACAGGGAGGTGGGGTTTGACGCTGCCGCCCTGTCATGAAGTCTCCGTGTCTGGTCTCTTGCAGGGCTGAAGTGGTCCTAGGGAACATCATCAAGAAGAAGGGATGGAGGTAAGGCTCCCTCTGGGTCGTGTCCGGGTGCCCACGGGGAGGGGCCTGGAGGAGCCCGTGGGAGGAAAGGGCTCCATGAGAGGCAGGTGTGCTCCAGGGTCTAGGTGGGTGGGCGGGCCGCCCAGGGTGAGCATCGGCTCGGGTCCCCTTGCCTCCTTCCCTGTGCACCAGGGGTGCCCAGGGTGGGCTTCACCCGCCTTTGTGCCTAAGACCGGAAGTCCCAGGATGTCCCAGAACCGGGCAGCCCCGAGCTGCCTCCCGAGGGCTCGAGGTGCACACTGGGGTGGCGTCCCCAAGGAGCCAGGGGCTGTGGTGAGGTGGGTGGCTTCCACTGAGCCACCAACGGGAGTGCCACAGTCAGTGTCCTCCCAGACAGCCGGCGTCTCTGCTTGAGACGGAAGTCAAGGGGAGGCCTCACCTCCCCACTCTGCCCCCCGCCTCGGACCCAGCTCGTCCACCGGGTTCAGAGGGCCAGGGTTGCCAAGCTGGCTTGTGTTAGGCCACAGAGAGTTGGCATGAGGACTTCCTGACGGCCCCGGATACAGCGGGGTGTCACCAAGGGGGGTGCAGAGTGCTCACCTGGAGAGAGGCCACTGTCCCACCTCCCTGGTCGGGCTGTCCTGAGGCTCAAACAGCCCGAGTCTGGAAAACGTCGCTCAGCCCAGGCCGGACAGTCCCACGCCCATGAAAGTGGCAGCCCCCTAAGACTCCTCTTCCCCTTGGGCCCACCACAGCCTTCGGAGGGCCCCGAAAGCAGAGTCCCACCCCCCGGGGACAGCCCCTGGGCACTGGCTGACTCGGCCGCCCAGAGGCCAGCGCCACGCGCAGGGGCCGACACAGCCTGTGGCCCGAGTGTCTTCTTTCAGGAGACTCAGGAGCTGCTGCGAAGCTGGGCCCCCTCCTGCCCCCACGTGGGTGACTGATCCTCCTCTTGCCCCCACCATACTGTTCCTTTGTGGCTCTAATTGATCCCGAAATAAACAACTCCTGGCTCCCTCATTAAGGGAAATGGACCGTGTTCCCAAGTCCCCTGATTGTGTCTTAGGTGAAGTGGGGTGCCTGGCGGTGAAGTGGGGTGTCTGTGCTTGTGGTTTTGAGGAGCTGTCTCCTGAACAGCCCTGAGGGGCACAGCCACAGGGGTCATTCTCTCCCCCTCCCTTTGGGGAGACCCCTCACTGCCCCCACCTGTCCCCACAACCCATTCTCCCACCCCCCAGCTCTCAGCCACCCCAGTTCAGCATCCCCAAGCCCCCCTCACACCCCAGGTCCTGCCCTCATCCCAACCCCTCCCTCCCTGGACGGGCCCCCCACCTCGCCAGCGTCCCACACAGTTTCTGACACCCTGTCAACGGGATGCTTGGCCCCTTGTGTCCTTCCTCCTTGGCTCGTGCAACCCACCTGAGCCCCTTTGTGGCCCCCAGCCCTGCACTTGACCCTCCCTCAGCCTGCTTTCTACTCTCCGAGCTGTGTCCCCCCATCATCCCAAGACCCACCCCCCCAGTGTGCCTCCTCCCTGGGGCCAGCCCTCAGGCCGCACACCTGACTTAGACTCCGTGTGGGTTAGTTGCGTCGTGGTTGTCTCCTGATGCCCCGAGGAGCCAAGCGCCAGGCTCGACACACCGAGAGCACTGAGCGGTGCCCCGTTTCACACCAGCGCTCCCAGACGAGAAGGGTGTAGGACCCCGTGAGAAAGCTGAGGTCAGGGTGGGAGGACCCCCCAAGGGGCCACATGCAGTAACACCCTCCTTCTCCTCTGTCCACAGACGATCCAGCCTGGTCATCACCACCAAGATCTTCTGGGGAGGAAAGTAGGTGCAGCCACGGGTGCTGTCCTGGGGAGGGTTGTCCTCCTGGACAGGCCGGAGGACAGGCGCCAGGCCCCTGCAGTTTGCTGCCCCGGTGCCAGGCGCGGGTGGGCGGGCACGGTGCAGCCGTCTGCCCTGGCTGAAGGGACATCAAGTTCTAGAAAAGCGGCTTAGGCTGTGTTTCTGTCCTTCAACCCTTGTTTACTTTTTACTTTCACTTCCATGGATTTGTTCTTTTTCCCTGATGACAAAGCTAACATTCCAAGCTTTCCGGAACACAGATAATTCTCGAACTGTCCAAACCCCTCTGCCTCCCCTGGGCCACAGAGCGCGCCTCCCAGCCTCCCGGCGTCTGCCCCACGTGCTCTCTGGGGCCAGCTAAAACCAGCTCCGTGGATAAGTGGGAAACACCCTTGGGTAAAGATTTTTTTTTAAATCAGCTTCATGGGTATTATAAATATGGTTTACTCTTAATCTTTAAAAAAATCCACGCCAAGCTGAAGAACAAATTGAAAAACCGAAGCCACCCTCCATGCCCAGGGAGGCGCCCAGGCCCCCTCCCACCCCTTGAGCACGCCCCTGTAGTCTGGTGGTTTCGTCCCCAAGGTGAAATCAGGCCGCACATGGCTGAGCCCCGGTTTTTGCCTGACATTTGCATCGTAACCACGTTCCCCAAAACCACTCGCAACATCACGCGCCTGGGGGCCTGTTTTTCAGAGCGGAGACCGAGAGGGGCCTGTCCCGGAAACACATCATAGAAGGTGAGGGGGCTGTGGCTCCACCAGGATCCCCCCTGGATGCCAAAATGGGGGTGCACACCCACCCCCTTCCAGTGATACGGCAGGGCCCCAGGCCCGGGGACACCCAGAGCTCTGGTCCTACCCTCTCCGAATCATGAGGGAGGGGCGGGGTGTGGGCAGGGTGGGCTGGTGTCACCCTCCGATGGACAGTGCTCCTCTGGGGAGGACACGGACAGGCCTGGGTTTCGTTCAGTGCCGACCCTGAGTGAGGGATGGGCACAGTGAGGGCACCCGCCTGTGGGGCCCCTGGGAACGGGACAGCAGGGGGGTGGATGTCACACGGGCACAGGGAGAGGGGTCAGCTAGCATGTCTCTCTTGTGCTCTATTTTTACTGTTTTCCGGCCTTTTCTGTCCACGTTCATTTTCACCCACTAACAATCAGATGACTGGGAGGCCTTGTCACCGCCCCTGCCCGTCCCCCAGCCCGACACCCCATTCTGCCGCTCTGTTTGGAACCATCACCGGGTGCCGGTTCACGCCTGGTGTGTCTCAGACGCCCTCGGCCTTGGGGGCAATGGACGCCACATGTTCCTCCCCTCGAGTCGGATAACCTAGCTCTCCCAGTCACCCCACGGGCCACCAGGAAACCAAGGAGGGTCCCCCTTCATTCCCACAGGACGTTTGGCTTTCTACCCTGGCTTCCCACCACCCCGAGTAGCAATGGCCCACAGGTGTCCCTGAACGGCCGGCCTTGTCCCTTCCATCTCTGGCTTGGGTGAGGGCCCAGACAAGTCTGTGAGGTGGTGACTCTCTCTCCCAACCCCTCCCCCAGGTCTGAAGGCCTCCCTGGAGCGGCTGCAGCTCGAGTACGTGGACGTGGTGTTTGCCAACCGCCCGGACCCCAACACGCCCATGGAAGGTAGGTTCTCTAACGGCTGGCTGGGAGGTTCTGACCCCGAGGCTCCGAGGCCCCCATTGGGCACCCAGGCCGGTGGTCAGGAGGCCAGGCCAGGTGGGAGGGGAGGGCCAGGCTCCGCTGCAGACCCCCGCGCCCCCTCCGGGTACACCCCGCACACCTGGATGCACGCCTCACCCACACCCGGTTCCCCACCCGTCCTGGGTTTAGAACTGTGTGGAATGTTCTCTCCTCTCAGCTATTGATACTTTGTAGCTACATGAAGTCCTATGATGACTGTTGCAGCTGCCCCTTTTCAGTCACCTCCGGGAGGCTCCGGCTCTTCGCTCTGTTACTTAGAGGAGAGAAAACGCGCAGGGCTTTGCGAAGCGGTTTTCGTTTTCTTCGGCGCTGTGGACGCTTATTCTTTCTTCCGACTCCCAGGGTCTCCGCCCCTCCCGTCCCCCCCAACTTTCTGCTTCGGGCGCCTTCTCTTTTGCGCTTTCCTGCGTCATGCACTTGGGAGATTAAGTTGTGTTCAGTTATTTTCTTTCTTCGTTTGTTGATATATATACACACCGTGCACCCGTGCGTATATATATGTGCGGGGGGGGGCGGTTATTTTTTAACGAGCCGAGCGTTCTGCAAAAGTGATTTGTGCCTCCCTGCCGTGCCCTATGTCACACCACGCCTCTCCGTGTTCCCACAGCTATAAACTCTGGTCTCTTTAAATCTTTCTTCTATCACCAGGGGACCCATTTAGTTCCTCCAAGTCCAGGACATTCATCATAGAAGGTACACAGTACCCTCGGCCCGACTATTGACTTCTGTCCAAGCTGCATTTTATGAGACAGTGGTTTTATTTACATGACTCTCCCCCACCCCATGACAAACTTCTCCATAAAATGCATCAGGGGAAGGCCGGTGCTCTCCGAGCACATCTTGCAAGTGGAGGAAAAGCCCCGCCCAGGCCACGGTTCACCCTCCCGCCCTCCTGTGCATGTCCCCCCGCCTGGCATCGCTGTGATCCCCGGGGGCTGGCCGGCTGTCTGCCGGGGCCTCTTCGTGATTTGGGGTGCTGTGGTCAGTGCCTGAAACCTTGACCCTGGATGGGCTGGGGGAGGCCAGGTTCCCACCGGAGCAAACACATCGGGGACCCCAGAGCAGGTGCCCTCACGGGTCGCCCGGAAGCAGCCCCAGTGCCAGCCCCCCACGCAGCTCGCAGGCTCCTCCGCACTCCTGGCCGGCCTGGCACCCGAGTCCCCGGGAGGGCTGGGCCACCCGCCCCTCTCACCCCTTGCTGTGTGGCCTGACCTCCCCACTGAAATGGAACATTGTCCCCCTCGAAGAATACCGACAAGAGCCGGGAAACTCGAGACCCGGGCAGCCTCTGGCCACCCCTAAGCTGAGGGCCCCCAGAACCCCCACACGGGCAGGCCGCGGGCTCCCTGGGGACTGGGCTGTGTTCCATGAAGGCAGGGCTCCTGCCTGCCAACTGGCACTGCCACCTGGCACTGCCACCTGACCCCTCCCATGTATTATTTGTGACCCGGCAGCAGCTGCAAGGACTTGGTCCTGCTTCTGTTCGGCCGCCGTCACTATTGAGGTGAAGGACAGCTGTCCCTAACTGTCTCTGTGTCGGGGCCACCGACATCACCCTGGGGCAGAAGGGCAGAGCTCCCGTGGGGGGGCTCCTCCCCCACCTGCCACTGCCTGGGACCTGGGGGAACCCAGGCCCTTTGCCCCGAACCCCAGCCCTCCAGGGCCGGCCGCAGGCTCGCGCTGGCTGGCAGCGTGGCCCGACCCCAGGCGCCGGCGGACCCCTTTGCATGGACGGGCACAGCCGTGTGCGGTGCCCTCGTTAGGACGGAGCCGTGCCGGGACGGGGGTGGGGGTCCCTGGCTTCCCTGTCTGCAGCATGTGGAGCTAAGCCTGGGCTGCAAAGGACCGGCAGTCACGCTGCATGGCAGCACCCCAACACTTTGTAAAGAACCCAACGGGGAGCCAGGCTGCGCCGGGGCTCGGGGTCTGGATGTGGGCAGATATCTTCCTGGGACCCTCAGGCCTCTCCACCCAGACACCATTGTCCTTCACATCAACCGGAGTCGGCAAAGTGGTGGCCCATCGGTGGTCCAGAGGGGGCCCTGGCTCCCCAGCCAGCCAATCCTCCTCCCTGGATGGGCGAAGAGGAGCCCAGTTCCTGACCTTGGGGGGAAGGAGGACAGGGCTTGGCCTGCAGTTGTGGAACCAGGTGTGAATTTTTAGGGGTCCCGGGCGAGCCCGCTGAGACCACCCCCCAGAAGCCCCCGCGACCTTAGCCTTCTACGGAAGGAGGGGCCTCGGCCAAGGGTCGGCGTCATGTCTTGTTTTAGAAACACTAGTTCGTCCACTGCGTCCCACGCTGCCTCGGGCAGTTGGACTCGCAAGCACTGTGTGGGGCCTGGGAGAAATCTGGGGGAGCAGCCCTCACTCCGCAACCCTGAGACATCGGAAACTTGAAAATTTGAGGCCAAGTTCTGTTTTGAAACTTCCAACATCCCGTGAGCTGAAACAGCCTAGGGGGGGATTTATTTCTCAGCACCTTGCTCGAGTCTTAGGAGGAGCCCACTGTGCGGGTGGGGAAGGCCCCTTCTCTCTATTTGAAAGGAAGGCAGGGGTCTCAGTGATTCAGTTCCTGGAACATTGCGACTCTCCGCTGCCCAGTCTTCAGTGTGCTCCAGCGCACGTGGAGACAGTGGCGTTTCTGCTGCAGGCCTTGGGCCTTCCCAGGAGGGTCGCCCGACCCCGCTGCACTGGGATCAGAAGCCACCAGCGTCCTGTGCTGGGGACAGGCTCCAGCCTGGGGCGGGGCAGGGGCCTGGCCCAGGCGGAGCTGCCCACGTCCCTCTAGCTCTCTGGACACAGGGGCTCTCCAGCCTGGGACCCCCGGGCCCCACGTCCTGTCCTATCCCCGCAGATGCCATCGTCCCCTCTCCCTTCAGCTCCCTGGATCCCGTGAGGGTGGCAGACCAGACACGCAAACGTGTTTCCTTCCTGGCGCCTCCTGCCAGTCCGATTGTAGTCTTCCCCGTTACCGGTTCTGCCTGCAGTCAGGTCCCTGGATCCCGTGAGGACGGGAGTCGTCCGAAGTGGCAGACCAGACACGCAAACGTGTTTCCTTCCTGGTGCCTCCTGCCAGTCCGATTGTAGTCTTCCCCGTTACCGGTTCTGCCTGCAGTCAGGTCCCTGGTTCTTCCCCGGACCAGAGAACTGACTGCCCCCTTCTGGGCTCCGGGACCACATCCTTCGTCTCACCTCCCCTCGTCCCGCTAATTGGCCACAGAAACGTCCCCATCTACCCAGAACCATTTTCCAAAGAGTCCATAAGACCTGACACTGTTTGGGGAAGTCGTTTTCAACACCAATTTCTTGGATCGAGGTTCACTTTTTCTGTTTCCCCGGAGACCCCCTGCCACACCCGACCTCAGAGCCAGGAAATACACTGCTCGCAAGACGCCTCGCAGCACCCTGTCCCCGCCCCAGCGCCTCGCCTCTGTCTGCACAGCGTCCCCAGGCTGGGCCCCATGCCCCCAGCTGCCCCCTCACCTGCAGTTCCCCTTCTCTCATGACAGAGACTGTCCGTGCCATGACCCACGTCATCAACCAGGGGATGGCCATGTACTGGGGCACTTCGCGCTGGAGCTCCATGGAGATCATGGTACGTGACCTCGGTGTGCGCGTCACGGCCACAGGCTCCTGCCCCTCTGTGGGGGGAGGTCCCAGGGCTCCGGCAGATTCAGGGCTACTGTCCCGGGGCACAGACAGCTGGCACGTGGCAGTCTTGCAGACAGGAGTCTTGTTAAGACGGGGGCTTGTCTGGCCGACGTGTCTCAGTGGATTGAGCTGGCCCCTTGGACTGAGAGGTCCGGGTTCGATTCCTGGTCAGGGCACAAGTCCAGGTTGTGGGCTCAGTCTCCAGTAGGGGGCGTGCAGGAGGCAGCCAGTCAATGTTTCCCTCTCACATCAATGTTTCTCTCTCTTTCTCTCCCCCTTCCTCTCTCTCAAAAAAATCAATGAAAACATTTTTTTTAAAAAAGACGGGGCTTGACTGCTGAGCCTCCCTCCCCCACCTGCAGGCAAGGACTGCAAGGGTGCCCCCTCCACCCCACGAGGCTGTTTGCAGGGTTAGCGGAGAGCGGGTGTGAGTCCTGAGCAGAGGCCCGGGAGCTCCGGGGACAGCAGTCTCCGCAGAGCTGTCGTGACCTTCCAGGTGCCCTGAGATTTAAGGGCTTTGCGCCCTGGCCAGTGCGGCTCAGCTGGTAGGAGCGTCATCCCATGCACCAAAAAGGTGGTGGGTTCAGTTCCCCGTCAGGGCACATGCCGAGATTGTAGGTTCGATCCCTGGTCGGGGCACGTACCGGAGGCAGCCAATCAATGTTTCTTGTTCACATCGATGTTTCTTTCTGTCGCTCTTTCTCCCCTTCCCCACTCTAAGATCAATAAAAAAAGTATTTTTAATTTAAAAAGAAAAGGCCCTGGCCAGTTTGGCTCAGCGGTTAGAACGTCGGCCTGCAGTCCAGAGAGACCCGGGTTCGGTTCCCGCTAAGGGCACGTACCTCGGTTGCAGTTTGTCCCCGGCCATGGTTGGTCGTGTGGGTGGCAGCCACTCGATGTGTCTCTTTCACGTCGATGTTTCTCTCTCTCTCTCTCTTACTCTCCCTCCCACTCTATCTGAACAAAAAAAATGGGAAAATGTCCTCGGGTGAGGATAAAAAAAAAGAGAGAGAGAGAGAGAAAAGATTTAAGGACTTCATGTGGACTCACTCCCATTGAATCCTCACAGCGCCCTAGGAGGCAAACGCCGCTGTCATCCTGTTTTCCAAACTTGCACACTGAGGCACAGAGAGGTTAAGTAACATGCCCGAGGTCACACAGCTTGTGCTGAGATGAATGCCCAGGCCATGCTCAGAGTCCCGGCTGCCTCAGCGTGTGGGCGGCTGTGGGGACCACGGCTCTCCTTCTCGTAATCCGTGGTGTCCCTCTCCTGCACTTCAGGACAGCGTCCCCGTCACTGTCGTTTCCCTCCAGGGGCGCCGTCCAAGGCCAAGGGCGGCAGATGCGTCTTGCTATTTCTGGGGTATCCTCAGTTCATCATTCACAGCCTGGGCTGGGTCCACATGTGCCTTTGGGGTGCTCCTCCCCCCATGCACACACGTATACACGCACGCACACACGCATGCACACGCATGCACACGCACCCCTGCTCTACGCTGAGCGGGGTGGCCCTGTGTTCCTCAGAGGCAGGCACCTGGGTGGGGGTGGGGGCTGGAGGGCAGAGACCTGGGAACTGTCTTCCCTGTCAGGCTGACACCACCCTTCCCTCTAGTCCCCCCCTGGCCTTAGTCCTTCCCACCCCCTTCCCAGCACTCCGTGCCCCGATGTCCCTGGATTGGGTTTCTCTGACGAGTCCCAGGTTTCTGCTGCATCAAGGAAACGAAGCAGGACTTTCCTTTCGCGTTCAGCACAAGCCTGGCAGCCCCACGTCGTCAGCTTTGGCTGCGGCGCTGATGAGCCCTTGGCCCCCCCTGGAGCTGCCTGGGGCCGCGGCCTCTTCTCCCCGTTTCACAGACAGGAAAGCTGAGCCCCCAGCTGGAGGGGGGAGGGCCTCCCGGGCTGGCAGACAGGGCTTCCCCAGGGGCCTGTCTGCAGACGTCCGCCTGGCTCACGGCCCTCGGAGCTGAGGCCTTCAGCTCCCAGCTCCAGAAGTGGGCCGACCCAGGGCCATCCGCCCGGCCCAGGGCCCTGGAGTGACAATCGTGACAAAAGCAGTGAGCACACAGCACACACGCATGAGCGCCTGCCCGGGCCAGCAAACACCACTGGCTCATTTGACCTCACGACAGATGGGGAAACTGAGGCCCAGGGGGGTGAGCCCTTTGCCCAAGGCCACCTGGCCAGTAATGCCAGAACCCAAGTCTCACTACTGGGTTGTACCTGCTCCTCAATTCCTTCAGCCCCCCCTTTTCCCACCTCATGGCGGGGACCTCACAGGCTCCCAGGAAAGCTGAGAAGGGGGGGGCAGGGGCCCAGTTCTTCCTGGGATTCCTGGGGTCCCCCCTGCTGCCCGGGCAGGGGCCATCCTTCCTGTCTGCGTCCTCAGGAGGCCTACTCGGTGGCCCGGCAGTTCAACCTGATCCCGCCCATCTGCGAGCAGGCCGAGTACCACATGTTCCAGCGCGAGAAGGTGGAGGTGCAGCTGCCTGAGCTCTTCCACAAGATCGGTGGGTGCCCCGCCCCCACCCTGCCCAGCGCTCCCCGCCCCCCCCATCCGGCCCTCTCTCCTACCCCCCGGGGCCCAGGGCTTGACCTCGCCTGGCTTTCCTCTCCCAGGAGTGGGCGCCATGACCTGGTCCCCTCTGGCCTGCGGCATCGTTTCCGGGAAGTACGACAGTGGGGTCCCACCCTACTCCAGAGCCTCCTTGAAGGTAAAGGGGGAGGCGGGCTAGGGGAGGGCACAGGCAGGAGATGGGCATTTTGCAAGGGTGAGGCCCTTTGGCGGACAGCCTCGGGGCTGGGTGCCTTTCCCTGGGCCCCTGCCCGCAGGGTGGTTTGAGTTTTGGGAACTTGGAGCCCCGGCTGGCCTGAGCCCAGGGCCAGAAGACCTGCCCACCCCATGGGACATGCCCAAGTGAATAGGTCCCTTCCCTCCCCTGCACCCCCCGCTTAACATCCTCTTCCATTCACATTCACAGCCTGGGCTGGGTCCACGTGTGCCTTTGGGATGCTCCTCCCGCCGTGCATACACATGCACGCACGCGCACACACACGCACACACACATGCACGCACACATACACACACGCGCACATGCACACACCTGCACGCACACATACACCCGCACGCGCGCACACACATGCACGCGCACACATACACATGCACACACATATGCACGCACATACACACACGTGCACACACGCACACACACCCCTGCTCCAGCTGAGCTCAGGGCCCAGGGCTGCAGAGCTTCTTCAGTTGTCACTCAGAGGTGACTCCCCAGGACGAGCCCCCCACACACATGCCTCTAGAGAGGACTCCCGGAGAGTCTCCAGAAGCAGGGTCTGGGGGTAAGGAGCAGAGAAAGGCAGATCAGCACCAGGCCCCAGGTTCAAGGGTAGATGGCTTGCTCCCCTCATTCCTCCCCAACCCACTGCAAGGTCAGGGAGCCCCTTCCAGGCACTGCCTCCCCAGGAGTGGGGCAGGGAGACTACACCCCTCAGTGCTAGGCCAGAGACAGCAGCCCACCTCCTGGGGACGCCAGGCCTCCTGGGACAGGGAAGGTCAGCAGGTCCACCTCCTTGTCCCGGGTCAGTGGGCCCAGCCTCCGTTCCCCACAGGTACGGGGCTTCAGAGTGCAGTGGGCCCCACCCTTCCCACTGTGCCCACAGCGGGACATGGCCTGGGGCGCAGGGGGCGGTGCTGCCCTGGCCTCGGGTCATCAGCCATCTGCACACAGAGGTCCAGGTGGCCGCCCTCACCTGTGGGCTGTGTTCTCCCCCACCCGCAACCAGGGCTACCAGTGGCTAAAGGACAAGATCCTGAGTGAGGAGGGCCGGCGCCAGCAAGCCAAGCTGAAGGAGCTGCAGGCCATTGCCGAGCGCCTGGGCTGCACCCTCCCGCAGCTGGCCATAGGTAACAGGGCCGGGGCAGGTGCCGGCCATAGGTAACAGGGCCGGGGGATGGGGGCAGGAGCCGGCCATAGGTAACAGGGCCGGGGGACGGGGGCAGGAGAGGCCATAGGTAACAGGGCTGGGGATGGGGGCAGGAGCCGGCCATAGGTAACAGGGCCGGGGGACGGGGGCAGGAGCCGGCCATAGGTAACAGGGCTGGGGATGGGGGCAGGAGCCGGCCATAGGTAACAGGGCTGGGGACGGGGGCAGGAGCCGGCCATAGGTAACAGGGCCGGGGGACGGGGGCAGGTGCCGGCCATAGGTAACAGGGCTGGGGACGGGGGCAGGAGAGGCCATAGGTAACAGGGCTGGGGATGGGGGCAGGAGCCGGCCATAGGTAACAGGGCCGGGGGACGGGGGCAGGAGAGGCCATAGGTAACAGGGCTGGGGATGGGGGCAGGAGCCGGCCATAGGTAAGAGGGCTGGGGACGGGGGCAGGAGCCGGCCATAGGTAACAGGGCTGGGGATGGGGGCAGGAGCCGGCCATAGGTAACAGGGCTGGGGATGGGGGCAGGAGCCGGCCATAGGTAACAGGGCGGGGGATGGGGGCAGGTGCCGGCCATAGGTAACAGGGTCGGGGGACGGGGGCAGGTGCGGGCCATAGGTAACAGGGCGGGGGACGGGGGCAGGTGCCGGCCATAGGTAACAGGGCCGGGGGACGGGGGCAGGTGCCGGCCATAGGTAACAGGGCCGGGAACGGGGGCAGGTGCCGGCCATAGGTAACAGGGCCGGGAACGGGGGCAGGTGCCGGCCATAGGTAACAGGGCGGGGGACGGGGGCAGGAGAGGCCATAGGTAACAGGGCCGGGGGACGGGGGCAGGTGCCGGCCATAGGTAACAGGGCCGGGGGATGGGGGCAGGAGAGGCCATAGGTAACAGGGCCGGGAACGGGGGCAGGTGCCGGCCATAGGTAACAGGGCGGGGGACGGGGGCAGGAGAGGCCATAGGTAACAGGGCCGGGGGACAGGGGCAGGAGAGGCCATAGGTAACAGGGCCGGGGACGGGGGCAGGAGAGGCCATAGGTAACAGGGCGGGGGACAGGGGCAGGAGAGGCCATAGGTAACAGGGCCGGGGACGGGGGCAGGAGAGGCCATAGGTAACAGGGCCGGGGGACGGGGGCAGGTGCCGGCCATAGGTAACAGGGCCGGGGGACGGGGACAGGGTTGGGAGATGTCAGGAATCCCCGATGTCTGGGCCACCCCCTTTACCAGCTAGCCGTGGGTGATAGGGGTCCCACATTCACAGGGAGAGGACAGGAGTCCCCGAGCACTTGGGCCACCTCTGCACATGGTGGAAGTCTGTGCCAGGTCTCCCCAGCACCCTCCACTCAGCACTGCTGAGCACTGGACTTGACAGGTCCCTCCTAGGCACCCTCAGCCCCAGACCCAAGGCTGGGTGTGTCCGGCTCAGGGAGGGGCAGGGCAGAACCAGAAGGGCGCCTGCCGGGGTGCGTCTCCCTCACTCTGTCTTGCTGCCCGCAGCCTGGTGCCTACGGAACGAGGGGGTCAGCTCCGTGCTGCTGGGCGCGTCCAGTGCAGACCAGCTGATGGAGAACATCGGAGCCATACAGGTGAGCGGGCCTGCTGTGCCAGCCCCAGGCCCGGGGCAGAGTTCACGGGCCATCAGTCATCTGTCCCGCAGGCATTTGTTGAGCACCTACTACGTGCCAGGCACTGAGCCAGGCACGAGGGCTCCATCAGCCAGCCACCAAAGAGCCCAGCCCCAGAGTCGCTGGCCCTAAATCTAGCTGAACAGACAGCAAACACCAGGTCGAGAATCAAGGAAATCAGGGTGCATATCAGATACGCACTATGGGGGGGAGGGGCTAGAGCAAGGGCGGGGTGTCTGGCAGGCGAAGGGGCTGCCAGGGGGGCTTGGGGAGGAAGTGACACGTGGGAAAGGCTCGGAGCGTGTGCAGTGGGCCGTGCAGATACGTGCGGGAGGAGCAGCAGGGACAGCGGAGGGGAGCCCGAGGCGGGCGGAGCCCAGCACTGAGCCTCGGGGGCAGGGCAGGCGTGAGGGGCACGAGGGGGGAGCCCCGCTCTGAGCAGTGTCCCTGTCTCTTTGGCTGCTGAGTGGAGGGGAGGCTGGGAGCAGGGAGATGGGCTGGGGAGTGACAAGAGGGGACAAAGGTGACAGCGGGAGGGGGGTGCACCCTGGGTGTTGGAAGGTGGCCTGGCAGGACTGGCTGACAGACTGGACGTGAGGGGCAGCGCGTGGAAGGCACCCTTGGGTTATGTCGCACGGGAGGGTGAGGCAGGGGAGGCTGAAAGCAGTTCGGGGTGTGGAAATCGGGGGTCTGGCCCTGGAGTCTGCGCTGTACGCCTTCCAGAAGGTTCTAGAGCACTCTGGAGTTTGAGGGCAAAGTGCGAAAGCGCAGACTTCCTCTCTGCCCCAAACCTGCCAGAATGAGAAAGCGGCGCGGCCCCCATCTGCGTCGGCCGGTGCCCGGTGCCCTGGGCCAGCGGGCGGGCCTCCGACGGGCTCCTGTCTCGGTTCACAGGTCCTTCCCAAACTGTCGTCCTCCGTCACCCACGAGATCGACAGCATTCTGGGCAACAAGCCCTACAGCAAAAAGGACTACCGGTCCTAGGAGCCCGGCCGCTGGCGCGGACACCTCCCGCCCCACCTCGTCTCCTGCTCGCGGCCACTCGCTTACGCTGTGTCAAAGCCAAGTCCAGAATGTGGTTTGCATCCAAAAGAGAACACGCCAAGATGTCACGGGGGAAACATGTCCAAAGCCGCTGCCACCCACCATCCACTGCTTCGCGGACCCGCGTCATGCCCGGGAGACGGCACTGTCAGGACGGCGGAGCCGCGCCCCGCCTGCAGCCTCTGCTCAGCCTCCAGAAGAACCAGCACGGCCCTCCCTCCTCCGCGGCCCTCAAACCCAGGCCAGGCTGGACCGGACTCTCCTGTGCTGAGAACCCACCTGGTGTTCGGGGCGGGAAGGGGAAACTGGGTCTGGTGGTCCCGTGGCCCCTCCGCAGAGCCCTGGCTGTTGGGCTGGGTCTCGCTCTGCCCAAGGGCCCAGGCACTTTCCAGTAGGCCTGACCCCAGATGCTCCCCACGCCTTTCCCCACCGCCACCTGCCCCGGGGTCTCTGAGGGCCTTCTGTGCTGTCCCTTGACCCCTAGCTCCTCCCAGGCTGACCGGGGTAAGGACTCAGGGAGATTGGCTCTGCAGTTTGGAACCCACAAAAAGTTTGGGGGTCTGATTTCAAGTTCATCGCCCCACTGTCTTGCTCCCTGCACAGTCAATGGTCCAGGCCAGGGCTGCCCGGGCCCAGGGCCCTCCTGGGCACCCCCTGCCCTCCCTGCCAGGCGCCCAGTTCGCTGCCCCTCTGTCCTTGCCCCAGAGGCCCAAGGTCGCGCATGCTTGGCTGGACTGTGGCCGCGCGTGGGAGACGGTGCCTCTGCTCTGCCCAGGTGGCGGCCTTGGAGTCTGCACGGAGAACAGGCTCAGAGCCTTTCAGGGAGGGTCCCCGGGGTCTTCTGTGCTGTGCGCCGAGGGCTGGGGGCCAGTCCACCCAGCGGCAGCCCCCACCGTGCAGGAGGAGACCCCGGGAGCCTCTCTGGAGAGTGGGGTTAAGGTGTTCCATCTTGGGGTGCTAAGTGCCTCTGTGCTCAGAGCTTGTGACCTGGGCAAATGGGCAGCAGTGCCACCCCTGGGACCCCCCACACCCTGTGAAAAGTGAGGATGTCATTTTTTCACCACCCCCCAGCCTGGAGCAGATTGGGGACAGGGAGGAAGGGCAGGACAGACGGACTGTCAGCCCCTTTGCAGCCCAGCCTGGTAGGTCTGCAGCCAGGAGCCCCAGCCCCGTGGTCCTGAGGAGTACCCCGGCCTTCGCCGGCTATGTGGAGGGCAGCCGCCAGGCTCTGCAGATGTGCCCCCCGGCACCCCACCCCTCACACTCGCCCCCGAAGGCAGGCACAGCCTGGCTGCTTCCAGAGAAGCTGCTGTGCCCAGGGGCTGCCCCTGCCGTCTGGGGGCCGCCATCAGTCCTGGCTGCGCTGAGGCCTGGGAAACAGGCCTGAGAAAAGCCTCAAGGGCAAGGGCAGTGGGGGCAGCTTTCTCCACTCCTGCCCTTTGTGCTGGCCTGGGGGCTAACCCTTCCTCCTCCTCGTGGGCCAGGCCCTTGGGGGTCTTCTCCAATCCATCCCCAGCAGGCTCTGCCCCGCAGGCATGGGGAGTGGCAACACCTGCCCCAGCCGGGGTGCCGGCCTGTGGCCACTCCACCACACGCTGGGGGGGTCAGCTCGCCCATCCCTCACTGGGAAGAGTGGCTGGGCCTCCACACAGCCCCCAGACCACCCACTGACAGGGACCAGACCTGCGGCGGGCAGATAGGGACAGCTGCCCCCATGAGCCACACCTGGAGGACTGAGGCCCTGTTGCCACATGTCGGCCAGACAGAGGGAGACAAGGGCCCCCCGAGTTGAGCTCAGCAGAGGCTGAAATGACCAGCAATGGGACCCAGCAACCTCAGCCCTGGATCTGGTTCTGAGTGTCCTGTTCTTCTGCACCCCCTGCAGGGAGGATGGGGCTCTGCTTCCTGGGGGACTGTCCCCCTACTTAGGAGGGAGCAGGAGTGGGGAGAGGGAGTTGGGCAGGAACCCAAGGGCAGCAGAACCTGGGAAGGAAGAGCCGGGCTTGGGTGGCCCCAGAGGGTGGCCGGGCCCCTCGCGGGATGAAGCCAGCCGCCGCCAGCCTCACCCCCCCCTTGACGCACAGTCTGCCCCTCGGGACAGGGCTGGCATCCACTTCCTTGGTGACACAGAGCCCCGCCGTCTCCTCCCACACGGGTCAGAGCCGAGGCCCGGGCGGCCGCGCAGGGCGCCGTCCGCTGTTCTCCGTCTTGTGAATACGCGCTTCTGTCTGCTGACTGTGGCTCCCAGCCTGACCCTCCGTGGGCGAGACGCCATCCGCCTCGCTTTCCCACGACCTCGGCCCAGGCGCCGGCACCCACTCATGGAATGACGAAATAAACCCGCGCGCTGGGTCTGCGGCTCTGCTCCCCTCATTTCTGGGGCGCAGCAGACGGGGGCCCCCAAGCCTGGAGCCAAGGGTGGGTTGGGAGAAATGGGCCCCAGAGAAGAGGCAGAGATTGGGGACCAAGATCCCCATCTCTCCCAAGTGATTCGGGAATGGGGTGTCCCCACCACCCCAACACACTTTCTGGTTGCTGGGAGGCTGCTGTGCTCTTTGGGGACACAGTGGGTCTGAGGGGGTCAGTGTTCCTCTAATGCAATGGGGTGTGTTTAGGGGTGCAGGTGGGAGGGGCAGGCACCACCCATGCACACTCCTTCTTGGGGTGCCCCTCCTTCCCAGCAAGCCCCCCAGCCCTTGCCCCCTTCCTAGATCAGTGAGCGTCCCAGGAAAACACTTCGCTTCAGTCCTTTCCTAAAGGATTTATTAAAACACAAAAAACCAAGACAGACACAGTACAAAGTAAAGGGGGTTGTGATGGTTCTGTGAGCATCTCACAGGCTCAGCTTCCAAAGCTCCAGCCCCACCCCCGGCTGGACCCTCCAGCCAGGACCCTCCAGCTGGTCCCGTGTCCCCAGCTGCGTGGCTGGCCTGGAGCTGGCCCCTCAGCCGGGCCAGATCCCGCCCCCGGGGGAGTCCCCTCATCTCCAGGCCGGGGGCTCAGGCTCCCATCTCCCTGTCAGGGGTTCAGGACACACACACACACCTGACGGGCCCTTTCTGGGTTATCGCACCTAAAAAAATACTTTGTTTTAAAAAAAAAAAAATCTGAAAACTAAGAAAAAAATCCAAAACACAACGCCAATGACTTTGGGCTGATATCCCACAACCTGTAAACTTCGGGAAATACAAGATGGGCTGGAGCCGGGTGGGTGCGGGGCAGCCACAGGGACGGTGGGGAGGCCTAGGTCGGCCAGGCCGACACCCCAGCCTGCATCCTGCCCGAGCCCCTTCCCCTGCCACCACACCCCACGGCCGCCGGCCAGGGTCCCCAGCCCACCCTCTACACGAGCCCCCAGGCCCACAAGAGCCCTGGTACCCGACACCTGGGAACAAGGGCACCAGATGTCACAGGGGTGAGACTTGGCCAGCCCCCAAACCTGGTAGGGGAGCCCCAGAGGACCCCTGATGGAGGATGGAGCTGGCACCTAGACCAGCTGTGGGTATCAGCAGGACCTTGTCACAATTTGTGGAAAACAAAGGAGCTTCTGAAAGTGGCTTGCGGGGCGGGTCTCCTGGCACGGGGTTGCGGGATGAGCCTCCGTGGCAGGTGGGCCCGAGGGGGTGGCCCTCTGGACACGGTCAGTCCTACCCAAACGCCCTCGTCACCTGGGAGCCCAGCAGGTGAAGCTTTTGAAGACCGTGGCCCAAAGCTGCCCCGGCAGGAAGCCGCCGCGGCTCCGGTTAAATAACGTGGTGTCTGGAAGCAAAGCCACAGGCCAGCACTTGGGGGTCCACTTGCCCACCACCCTCATTCTGCCAGCAGCAAAAAGCAAACCCAGCTTGAAGAGGCCAAAGACCATAGGACCCCCTCACCCCACCGCGTTGGGCGGGACATAACTGATAAACCAAGAAGAAAACATTCTTAAGATCCTTTTTCTCCCCCAAAGCAGTTAACAGAAACCCACTCCCCAGCTGTCCACAGCTCCCGTCCTGGGCCTCGGGTGCCGGGCACGGAGGGCGAGCCTTTCCGGGGACCAGCGGCACCTGTGGGTGCCGGGCGCTGGCCTGGTGAGGGGGCCCAGGAGACAGTGGCAAGGCCTGGGAAGGGCATGAGATGGCGGGGACAGGGAGGCTGCCTGGGGAGGGAGGCTGGGAGGGCGGGACCGCAGGCCCCTCCCCCGCTGCCATGTGCCTCCCAGCCTGACCCTCGGGACCGTCCACTGTGACCAGGGAACTGGCAGTGTTCCTGGTGAGGCCGACCACAGGAAGGGGAACATCTCAGGGCCCGGGGACAGGGGCTCCTGGCAGTCACCTGGCCTGTGGCCTGAGCCAGGAGCCCTTGCAGGGAGGCACTGACCAGGGACACTCGTGCAGGGGAGCCGCCGGGTGGAGTGCCTCAGCATTTCTGGGCGGCGGGGCCAGCGCTGCTGCATGTTCCTAGAAACCCAGGCCACCTCCGGGACCCTCCCGGCCCACCCTCCCGGTCCACCCTCCCGCAGCGCCGGCCGGTCTGCCTGGAGACGTCGATCAGGATGGAGTATGGGGTCACTTAAGATGAAAGGGGCCTTGGGGGTCCCGCCCTCCAGGGTTCAGAGAGAGCCATTTACAGATGGGGACTTCTGGGGCTCCGTGAGGGCCGGCCAATCATCCGCTGTCCCCAAGGTGAGCCACCAAATCCTGGCCCCAGTCCTGGCCCAGGGAGCTGAGCCAAAGTCCCTCTGGGCACCTTCACCCCCAAGCCCAGCTTGTCTGTCACTCAAACAGGATTCTTACCCAGGGCATCTCCCCAGGAATAAGGCTCGGACATCCCTTCCAGGCTGAGCATCAGACACAGAGCGGCCCCGGCTTGGCCCACCAGCAGCCCCCACCTGGGGACCGTTACAGGTGCCACCGGCTGGGCGGAGGAGGGCCAGGCCCTGTGTTCCTGCGGGACACAGGCAGGGAGCCTGGGATGTCCGGCAGGGAGCCGGAGCGGCCGTCAGCCCCCTGCCTCCAAGCAGAGCTCTCCCGGGCCATCTGAGACACGCCCAGGGCATCCATGGCTCTGCCCCGGGTGACAAGTGCCTGGATGGAGGCCTCTCCAGACAGAAACAGGGATGAGTCCATGCTCCAGGGGTAGCCTGGTTTCTCCATTTCTGCAGATCATGCGACTGCGAGTACCCAGAGGTGGTGTGACGGCCTCCCCGGGCACAGGGCAGGACCAAGCACTGCTGTGACCTCTGCTAAAACGCCACCAACCACCTGCCCATGACCACGCCTGGCACACGGCCAAGGTGGAGGCTCCACAGCCGCACAGGCCCCCCCCACATCCAGGAGGCACACACCGGGCCCGCCCTGGAGGGCAGCGGCCACAGGCCCTTCGCAGACGCTGACAGAGCCCAGGGACAGACACCTACTGACGGCCCCACCCCCAAGGAGACCACGCAGAGCTGGTGGTCGCCAGCCCTGGCAGGGAGGGGGTAGAATAAAAGCCCCAACCTGGGCTCAGCCAGGTCTCTACCATCGGGCCGGGCAGCTGCCCCAGCCCTGACCCGCCTGGCACTGGGCGGCCCCACGTGGGCAGGGGCAGAGCAGAGGACAGTCGGGCAGTGCAGACGGGACGGGGGCGGAGGCACACAGAGCTCCAGGCAGATGCTGTGGGCAGAGTCCAGGACAACAGCAGGGCTTCCAGGACCTTCTGTGGGGCGGGAGCCGCTGCCAGACAGACGTGTGCTGGTCGGACTGCTCCGTATGCCACTCAACTTTTATCAAGACAAACGGTTCAAGTCTTCAATAGGAAAGTGCAAAAGGTGTACAAATAAATGAAATCTCCTCTAAGAAGTCGTCTGGCAAGGCGGCCCGGCGCGTCTCTGTGGTGTGGCTCGACGCGGTGTGGAACACGTGGGTTGTGATGACGTGGAAGTCCTGGGCCCCGCCCACGTGATGGTATCCCTCGTCCCCTTTCCGTCCCGCGGTGGCAACGGCTCCTACAAAGGCGGTAGCTCTTCTCTCCCGTGGGGGCCAGGCAGGTGGCCCAGCGGGCGTGGCTGCAAGAGGCAGAGCCCGGGGACAGGTGGGTGGTCAGGTCTCCATTTCAGAGAGCACCCCACACCTGTCCCTCCCCACCACTGCCTGTCACAGGCAGCTGCACTCAGAGGGGCGCCCTAGCCAAGACCTCCCAGAGCGCCAGGGCGCGCCCGGAACCAGCAGCCCACTGGGGCAGCCGGTCTGGAAAGCCCTCCCCTGCGCACCTCCACCTCAAGCTGAGTTCTTACAGGACAGACAGGGCTTGGGGGGCAGGGTGAACTGGAATAAGCTGCCTCTGCTGGCCCCACCCCAACCCTGAGCCACCCTCCTGGTCCTGGGCGGGGAGTGGAGCACCCACTACTCAGCAGGGCAGCGGAGACAGGAGAGGAGGGTTCCGGGCAGGGGCGATGGTCCCTGATCAAGGCCATGGACACGCGTGTACACACAGGAGCACCTTTGTGTCCTGCCTTCCCCGGCTCCCAGGAAGCTTCTGGAAGCCTGGGTGGACACACCGGCCGCGACACAGTCCCCAGGGCAGAGGAGGCTGGGGTGGGGGCTCTGGCTCGTGGGCAGTGAGGACCCCACGCTCAGGGGCATGAATCGAGCATGGACCAGGGTTGACTCTGGCCGGGCCTGACCCGCCGAGCTGGGGAGGGGACGAGGGACACTGGGGCATCCAGGAGCATCCTTACCTCAGCTGGGAACGAGCTTTGCAAGAGAGGGAATTCGCGGGGACGGCTAGATATCTGACAGAGAGAGAGAACCAAGGCTTGCCCGGGGCGTGGTGGGCAGGGCCCCGCGGGCGCCCCTGTGCATGCTGCCCGGGAGCAGACGGGCACCTACCAGTCACATAGGGGCCCAGGGGCATCTGGTTGTAGTTGACAATCCCTCCCGGTCCAGGGCCCCGGAAGTTGGGCCCAAAGTTGTTGTTGTACATCTGGGAGGAGCCGAAAGCACCCTGGAGGCAAGGACTCGGGTTTAAAGATCACAGTCCCGCACCGCGGACCCGAGCCCCAAGCCAAGGTGCTCAGGACCTGCGTGAGGGGGACTCGGGCCCGGGCGCTGACCTGCTGGATGGCGGGGTCGCCGGCTCGGTTGGTCAGGCGGCTCAGGATGCTGCGTTCCGACATCTGGAGGCGGGCGGCCACCGGGGGGATGCGGGACAGCATGGAGGGCAGGCGGGTCACGTCCGCCTTCATGTCACTCAGCAGCTCCTCCAGCTGGTTCAAGACTGGGGGACAGAGGCGGGGAGGGAAGGGCTGATGCAGATGCCCAGGCCGCTGCTTCGTTACCAGGGTGTGTCGCTGCACCCCCGGGCCGCGGGCACCAGGGGGCGCT